AAACCTACTTTTTTGTAGGTTCTTCTCTCAAGCCCCAAAGCCTGAAGCAAGAGGCCCTCGGTGGGGCAAGTCGTCGTGGAGCCCTGCGTGAGCCTTTGGTCAAGATCGTGTGCCTTGGGCATAAAGATGAGGAGGGGTAGGGAGGGGTTGAGGGTTGCAGGGCCCGGTCTTAGTAGCTTTACTATTCTAGGGTTTACGGGGGGGGGGGGGGTCTGCATGAACAGTCTTGCATTCGTTTGTTCTGTAAGAATTGTATTCCCTCCGAAAGCTCTCTAGCTCTGCAGACCTCCTTTTAGATTGAGGGTTTGGAATGCCGGGGCTGGTTCGTTAGGGTTGTAAAGGTTTAGGCATTTAGGGTTAGGCGGGTCAGGGGGTTGTTTTCGGCTTAGTTTAGTGATGGGTTTTTCGGGTCTTTACTTCGCTGTTTGACAGTCTTTGTGGGGGTATTGAGGGCCAAAGAAGAGAAACGCCGTGTTGAGTACCTAAACACTTAATTGTAGTGTTTCTTGGTTGTTTTATTTTTTGCTAGGGAGTCCTGACCACAGGTCACCCCAACAATGGTGCCAAAATTAAGGGCCTATAGGGTCTGGGAAGGGTTGTATCTGTGATTAGAGACCGGGCATAAGGCTGCTGCAAAAAGTCTTCGAGGGCTCGTTGAAGGACTTGTTGGGTGAAGGGTTCCGGCGTCAAGAAGCTTTTAGGCTACCTGTGGCCCAAAACACCTGCCTTTTTTACGAGTTTGTTTTTTAGAAACCATCATAAGGAACCCTATAAACCCATAAGCAATCCTAAAAAGGTAGGTTTTTTCGGCTACAGGTAGGACCGGGACGAGAGCTTTGCAGGACTCGGCATACTGAAGCCGCATCCGAAGCTTCTGTTGGGCTTCGGTGTTGCTGTTTAGGGTTTAGGGCTTTAGGGGTTTAGGGTTTTAGGGTTTAGGGGCCTCGGTTTGGAGTCGAAGGCACAGGGGACCCTGTAGCCTTAAATCCTCAAACTCTAGCCAAACCCACAACCCATATCGAGTCCCAATTGTCAGGCACTTCCTTCGAGCTATGGACTTTGAAGACGCCGCTGGACGCGAAATTTGGCCAGCACTATGGCTTAGGGTTTGGTGGGTGTTTCCAGTTGTGGGGTTCAGTGTTTGGGTTGTCTATGGTTTGGGGACCTAGGGATGTAATATAGCGGCCTTAATANNCCCCCCCCCAAAAAAAAAAAGCAAAACGATTCCAATTATTACGGCCCCTTATTGGCAGCAGGTTGCGACGTGGTTCTGCAAGATGAAGACTTCATTGTTCAGATGGGTAATGTTGGGATTCTGAAGACTTGGCGAAATTATGGGTTCCGGGCCCGTCCTTTGTGTCGTTTCGCATCATTTGTGTGTCGAACTGCTACAAAGCAAACCATGAATCTAAATTATGTATAAGCTTCCTAAGCCATGTCTCCCCAGACTTTAGTGTAAACCCTCCTTAACCTTGACCCTGAGCAAGATGATCCCACGTATGCAGATGTATCTATATACATATGTATATATATACACACATACACGCACACACAGACACACACACACACACACATATATATATATATATATTATACAAATGAGCAACGTGCCATGTCCTCCTAGACCCATGCAACCCCAAAGCCTTCCGAAAAAAGAAAGCAGTATACAACTCTAACTCTGCGGTGGCCTTTGGGGGCTGTTATCCTTACCTCCATTCCTCCAGAAGCTGTTGTAAGGGATTTGCTAGTAGAAGAGTTCTACAAGGGTTCCATAGGGTTTAGGGTTTAGTGCATTCCCCATAATAAGGAATATACCAGTATCTCCCATAGTTTAGGGTCCTGAAAGTCATGCAGGATATATACCATCAACAGTAGCATGCAAAAGCAAGCGCCGAGAGGAGATCATGTTCGAGGAACTCCAGGAACTCATTGGCCAAGGGCCGTTTGGCTCTCCATCTGTCTTCAACTTCTACCGCGCGGACCGAGATTGGGGTTCACGGCCTGTAGGGCATGGTAGATTTTAGGTGGTGCTATTGGGGCCGTCATAATTACCTATATTATTTTTTTTTGGGGGGGTTCCTTATCATAACTATTAGAACCCGATTCTAATTATCAAGGCCACTGGATTATAAGGATTGAGGTTCCATGTTTAGGGCTTAGGGTCCCATGGCAGGGTTCAGGGTGGGCATGGCACGTGTAATTCAGCGCCCAGGCTTTTTCCTTAATGGCCCCCTCACGTATAGTTTAGGGTTTAGGGTTTAGGGAGTAATATAGACGGGGTAGACGACAGTTGCATGTGCTGCTTTGTTCAGGGTTTCGTGATGCTCCGAGTTGTTTTTGCACCCTTTCCAGCCGTGCGTGCCTCTCTATGTGGTAGCTGCTTTGGGCTGCCACCACACCCTGTCACCCCTATACGCTTAAGGCTTTCGATATTTGATGTCCAAGATTGGCTTACGGAGCTAACCTAAACTTTATCACCCCTAAACTTCAAGGTGTTCCGTATTTGATGCCCAAGGTTGGCTTGATGGTTATGCTTGTTTAGGTGTGCAGGTGATCCCGGGGCGAATTTGGCATTGCAGAGTTTACTCTTGGCATTTTGGTGCTTGTCTTACGGGCCCAGACTTGGACATCATATTTTTACCCTGCATAAGCAAGCTCTAGCAGCCCCCAGGCTCCTTACACCTCTTTATGCCTCCTAACTGCCGGCTTTGTTTATTGGTGGTTAGGTTTGCGAGCGGCTGCTGTGCGTGACTTTATGCTTTTTTCATGCACCATCATGATGCACTGTTCTGAGGATTATTTGCTATCGCTTCGATTATGTAGTTAGTTGTGGAACAAGTGTTGTCATTGTTGCTGCTACCCATCTTCTCAGCTGCACGACTACCACTTGCATTTCTATTTCCGCAGCAGGACTTCCAGTCAAACACCATGCCACTTGGCTGGGTTTGGAGGCTGTGTAGAGGCCACCGTGTTCCTGAGCCTCCATGAGGTGGACAGCGTGCATGCGCAAAGCTTTAGGGTTTAGGGTTTAGGGTTTAGGGTTTAGGGACCGTCAAACATAAACCCTTTGTCCCAAACCCTTTCCCACTCCACCGAAACAAGTCACTTTTATGTTGACCTCCCAATCAGTCTATGAGCCAAGGATTCTGGTAAGGGTTCATTTAAGGGGTTGCATTACGGGTTTTTTCAACAAGGCGTACTTACTATAGTTGTATCGTTTGGGGTTTAGGGGCTTCAACACCCCCACGCATGTGCACTTGGAGAGTAAGATGGGGTTGCAAATGGACCCTATGCAACGTTAGCCCTAAACCGACTTGTAATCGCCCCTTCCTGCCAAGATTCAGGGCATCGCCCCTGACCGTAAGCAGTATAAACAAGCAGTTTCTTTATGTAGCCAGTGACAGACATGAATGCACGCATGCATCCTGTTTTGTACGAGCATCACATGTTCACTGTTATTGTCGCTGGTGGGATGGGTGTCCGGTCACCTTGCGTCCTTCCACAATGTTGTGGCTGACAACGGGTTACACAGGCTGTCTCCAGACGTACCCATACTTTCTGCAATAGGCCATGCGGCAGACCATTGATAACTCGAAAGCGCTGTAACCGGTGGTGGCCCCGACCCAACTCGGACGTTCGTGTGTGTGTCTTTCTTGGCTTTTTCCTGGCTTCCCGGGATGAATGGCCGGAAGGTGTCAACAATCTTCTGCTGCAGTTGGGCATAGTGTTCGAAACAGTCACAGAAGTCCGGCCTGAAAGCGATTCTGATTTGCAATGGCCTTCGCCCCAAAATTTCTGTATTTGTAAGTTTGGAAATTTGGCCAGCCATACATTGACACGAAGTCACTGATGTTGTTTATCTAAGCCGGGGTCGCAGCAATGCTGCCTGTGGGTCGTCCGATGGACCATGGCGGTTTGGGTGTTGCGGGGACGGCGAGCAGCGAAACCCACGATTGGCAGTTTTCAGTTCATCTGGCACAAAATGCGCCAAGAAGTGGGAACGAGAAAGCTCTCCGAAAGGCGATCGTTGCTTGCGGAACAGCCCGACAGTGGCAGGCAGCGCTGCAAGTCTTGTCGAACATATTTTCGAGCAGCAAAGCTCCAAGTGTCTACAGCTTCAATGCCGCGATAACGGCGTGCGGACGTGGATTCATGTGGCAGCAGTCGCTGGCACTGTTGTTGCGAATGGAAACATTCCAAACTCAGCCAGATGTAGTCAGCTACAATGCAAGCATAACTGCCTGTGAGAAAGGGGGCGAGTGGCAGATGGCTTTGTTTTTGCTGTCACAGATGCCGGCAGCCCAGGTTGTCCCGGATCAGATCAGTTTCAATGCGGGCATCAGTGCCTGTGAGAAAGGGGGCGAGTGGCAGATGGCTTTGCTTTTGCTGTCGCAGATGCCTTTGGCCAGAGCTGTCCCGGACCAGATCAGTTTCAATG